TGTCCTTCCCGCAAAGTCGTACCCGCGCCCCCAACCGACGCCCGTCCGCCGCCCCCACTGGACAGCGCTCTCGGGGGCCGCGCCCCTCGCGCCGGCCTCCCTGCGCCCTCCTCGGCCCTCCTCGTCGAGGCCCCCCAGCCCGGCCCTGGAGACAGCCGGCTTGGCGCGGCTTTGGAGTCTGCAGTCCACACGCCTTGTGGCGCAGCTCCTCGGGCTGGGCCCGCGGGGGGCTTTCCTTCCTCCGAGCTCACCGTCCGGTACCGACAGGCTAGAGACGCAGACGCCTGTAGAATCATCGCTGCGAAGTGACACGTGAGACGCCAGTGGTCCTTTGCGTATCTTCCTAGACGGATCCTGGCTCAGGTAGGGCAGGAAAGGCTTGTCTGATGACGCTTGGTGTGAGATCTGATGCCTTCTGCAAAGCGGGGAGGAAACCCTCCTAGCAAACGGGATCCTGAGTGCAAAGGCTGCCTGGCAGGGGGTGCAGGAGGAGGCCTGGCGCGTACTCAGGCCGAAGGATATCTGCGGCGTTTGAGCCTCTAGGCCTGCAGAGCGTGTGAGTTGAAACTGGAGTCAGAGGAACAGTGCCTGGGCCCTACAGAGTTTTGTCCCGGTTGGAGAATTAAAGGTCTGGGTGCAGTGGCTCACACCTGTGATCCCAGCATGTTGGGAGGCTGAGGAGGGAGGATCGCCGGAGCCCAGGAGTTTAAGGCCAGCCCAGGCCACAGAGCAAGACCTTGTCTCTACAAAAGATTTCTGAGAATTTGCCGGGCATGGTGGTGTGCGGCTGTGGTCCCAGCAACCCGGGAGCCTGAGGTGGACGGATCGCCTGAGCCCAGGAGGTCGAGGTGGTGGTGAGCTCTGATCATGCCACTGCACTTCAGCCTGGATGACAGAGTAAGACCCTAACTCCAAAAAAAAAGAAAGAAAGAAAGAAAGAAAAGAAGAATGAAAGGAAACCGATCAAAAACTTTAAGCAGAAGTGAGCCCAGGTCAGATTTGCATTTTAAAAGGTGCCTCCACAGGGGTGCCAGAGTGGGTTAGGGTAGACCTGTTAGGCTATCACTCTTCTCCAGACTAGACTTGCAGGAACTTGAAGAACGCTGGTGGGGAGAGAGAGGGAAGGAGACAGTGAAAGAGGGGCATTCTTGAAGACATGTTTGGGAGGTAAAGTTGAGCCAGACGCAGTGGCTCATGCCTGTAATCCCAGCACTTTGGGAGGCAGAGGCAAAAGGATTGCCTGAGCTCAGGGATTTGAGACCAGCCTGAGCAATATGGTGAGACCCGTCTCTACAATGAAAATTGAAAATAGCTGGGCTCAGTGGCTCAACCTGTAATCCCGTGCTTTGGGAGGCTGAGGTGGGTGGACTGCCTGAGCCCGGGGGTTCGAAACCCACCTGGGCAACTTGGCAAGACCTCATCTCTATAATAAATCAAAAAATTAACCGGGCATGGTAGCGCGCGCCTGTAATTCCAGCTACTCAGAAGGCTGAGGCAGAAGGATTGCCGGAG